TGAGAATGATGATGGCAACAAATGTACAAATGTGGTTGACACAATGGATGTGATAAGAGTGGTACAAGCCCCCAATAAAATGATTTAATTTGAAAAGAAAAGAAAATGCATATGCATTGATGTACCTTATCCATTCATTTTGGTAAATATTTTCCTAAAACAAATTAACTATCATCATAATTATCAGGAAGGTTAAAGTGTAAAGAAAAAGACAAATAAATACAGCTAGCAGCTAAAAAATCATTCAGCAACCAGAATGTTTTATGTCTTGACCAGAATAGAAGCACTTAGAATGAGAGCACATGGATAACCATTTTGTCTAAGGAGTTAAATGGTTGCTCTTAGGGAAGTTGCCCATTTACTTTCACCGATCACCTCTCTTAAACTGTAGTCTGGGAAAAGGGTTATTTAGAGAAGAGAGTAGTACAAATAACATGACTAGCTCATATGTATTTCAGAAGTAAATGAAAATATTCAGTAAATAAGCATCATTTTAAATCTAAATATGTTCTTATAGTTACAGGTATTCTGAAGGACACAATGTTAATCCATCAGTGAACTCAACATCAAGCTTCTCATTCTGTTCAATGAGTCAAAACTTATCACTCATTAGAACACCACCTGAAATAGTGGGTGATGGTAAGAATCGATAATCATGCTCAAATTCATAAACTTAATTACGACTCTAATCAAAAATATCTTATTAGCAAAACTTATTTTTAAAGAATATAAGAAAAGCATTGACAGTTTATCCATAATCAAAATCACTGTTGATATACTTTATATATGTAAGAAGCTTTTAGAAAGAAGAAAGATTTCATTAGAAAAATTGGCAGAGAATGAAAGAAGGAAGTGCTATAAATATATGAAAACTTGTAGCTTTACTCTTAATTAAAATGCAAATCATAATACCAATTAAGATTTTTAACAGATTATAACACATTATGAATTATAATTAAAGTGTTTTAGCCTATTAGATTAAAAAAAGATTAAAAATAAGACATGAACTTAAGGGAAAGGGTGCATTTTATGTACTGTTGGA